ACTGTTTAACTATTGGCGGCTACTTTTTATCAGTTTATCACTTTTGATTCAGTGTCATGAAAATTGTTACAATGAAAAAAACTTAATTGGCCTAAAAATGTGAAAATGTGAAAGTGTTTCTTGCCAGTGTTTGTGAAATTCAACCTATGTCATTTGCCGTGGAATAACCAATGAATTTCATTCCAGATGGATGTTCTTTTCATTATTTATTTGAGGTTATGAATTGCATAGAGTAACACTTGTTGTCCAAGTAGGATAAAACATCCCTGATATGTTTAATTATAATTCTTATGTTCACCTTGAAGAAATCTGAAGTCCTCCGGATGCAGTATCGGTATCTTGATCTTCGGTCGCCCAGGATGCAGTACAATTTAAGACTGAGATCACAAATGGTGATGAAAATGAGGGTGTACCTTTGCAGTTTGCATGGTGAGGATTTATAATGGCATTTTCATACTTGTACATACATCTGTTAATGTACTGGAATACTCACTGAACATTACCTGTCTTTTCCCAAGGATTTGTGGATGTGGAAACACCAACATTGTTTAAGAGAACACCAGGGGTAAATATTTTATTCTGTATAAACCAAGTGCCATTCTTATAACCAAAATATAAGGCAAGGTGCTAATTCAGATACAAACTATTTTTGTTTCATAGAAATCGTTGCACATTTAATCAATATGGAATTGTTAAGGAAAATATATACATGCATAATATGTGCTTGCAATTCAAATGCACTCCAAATGACTTCAGGAATTCAGAAACGTGGCCATGAGTGTTTATTTATTTGTTAACTTTGTTAAACTTCCAACATTGTAAATTGCACTCATAAAAACGAAATAAAAAGATAATACCTACTGAGCCAAATCCAAAGAATGAGAGAAAGTATGAATGCAGAATGTACTGTAGCTTGACTAAGCGAAGCATAAAACGTTTTGCAATTGCAGAAAGGTTGCATTTATGAGAGCTTATTTTACACTGCACAATGCTTCTATAGTGACTCATGCTTCTGTTTCTTGTCTCCTGCAAGACACCCCTGTAAGGCTTGCCCAAACATCAACAAAATACAGCTGGTGCAAAATATTGCCAAATCGTTACCCAAAAATTTGTGAGCAATCACATCACTCTGATCTCTTGCCTCTGGCTTTGTTGTTCTAAGAACTTTTACATCTGTTTTCAACGAATGGACTTTTAAAACTTTTAAAGCTTTGATACATATGTACGAGCGTCTTAATGCTACTCGCTTTATCTTGGTAACCCCGCTGTTACTGGACACTTCAGTTTGCAGAATAAATTAGCAAACTGAAGCTTGTCATGTGACATGGCAGCCACAATAGCACTGTATAACTGATATAGGCTTATGTTTTATTGTATTTTTTTCCTTTTTATTCGAAATATTTCCAAACGTGTTAACTATATCAGGAAATATCTCGATTCTCAAACATGTGTAAGTAAATGCGTTTTGCACCAGATTGTTATTTGATCTAAAATGGGTGATGGGCAAAGTAGAGTAATAGTGTAATCTATTAACTACACATAAAAACCTGACTTTTTACTTAAGTACCACTGTGCTAATTTATTTTGGTTCTCTCTTTTGTATTTCATAATGTGACTTTCATTTATCAGATTGGCTTGAGCTATGCTGATTCAGTTCTCAGTGAGAGGCAGGAATACACAGAGTTTATTCAAGAGTAACTGTGTTTCTCAGGGTGCCAAAGAGTTTGTGGTGCCAACTGGAGACCCTGGGAAGTTCTACTCTCTTCCACAGAGCCCACAGCAGTTCAAACAGCTTCTTATGGTGGCTGGCATAGACCGGTAAAAGTCATATTTTCTTGCCTTTTTCTGTTTCCTTCATATTCACAGATTGTTGTCAGATGCTTGGCACGTTCACTAAACTCTGCCTTCACTGACTGACAGCACCTTGAAAACAAAACTACATCCTGTTGGCCAACACACTCTTGGAATCAGTCGCATTCTTAGCTGTTAGCAGCTTTGAATTATGCAGAACTGCATTCATTCAAATGCTGTGTGAAATGCCAAAACAGTGACATGCATTTGGAGTGTACTGCCTGATACGGATTAGAATGCTGCTTTGAATTCTAACCACTTTTTGAAGATTTTTTCTAATTTGGAATTCATTAGCAAATAATTTTGAGGTGGTACTATTATTAGCACATCAGTCACTGTGTGGGTTCCTGCTGACATGTTTAGCTTTGTTTCCAATGTTTGTGTATTAAAGGGGTCTTTGGCCCATGTGAGTAGTTAACATTAATATTTATAAAGGGTTAGGGTTAGGGTTACTAACCCTAACCCTAACCCTAAGCACTTCTAAATAAGATAAAATGCTAAAAACTAAAATAATTCATTTAAAATTTTGCAATGCATCTGATATGTTAAAGAGTATATAATAAGAGTAATTAATAACTTTTTAAGTGAGTTTGAGATGATGACAGATTTAATATGATGGCAGCTGTAATATAAATGTACCTGTAAACATAGATGAAATTAACATGCACAATTAAATACCCAATTTCAACTGATAAATAAAAAAAAACCCTCTGATATTGACCAATAACCATTGTGGGTTCCCCTGTTATGATTTCCCCTTTTATTTATAATGCAACTATTTTTTAATAATTATAAATATACACTACTGTTCAGAGGTTTGGGGCAGTAAGATTTTTTTAGAAAGAAATGTAATACTTTTATCAAGCACTGAATCAGCATATTAGAATGCAATAAATTACATTTTAAAATGCTGAAATAGAAAGTTATTTTTTTTCTAATAAATTTAGCCGAGGTGAGCATAAGAGACTTCTTTCAAAATCACTGAAGAATCTTACTGACCCCAAATGTTTGAATGGTAGTGTATATTATTTATTTATTTTTTATAAATATTATAGTATTTTCCTGAGTGCACCTTTTTTAGTGAAACAAAGTTGAAGCAAAACCAGCTGAACAGAAATGTGAGAAAGTGTGGGCAACCACCCACAACACACTAGTATTGTGTTGACGTTTTTGCACAGGCAGCACCGCTCTCATTTTGTTCAGAAAGCACAAAAGTCTAGTTTCTATTAGATTTTGAAAAATGATAATGACCACAATAGTCTCATTTTCATTTCAATTTTGGCAGCAAGTCTCTTTGAATTAGTAGTTGCGCTAAGCCAGGACTGCAGGCTAGTTTAATGAAAAGTCTGTCAAAGGAAAATGATATGCTATGCATGATTTAAAAATGTCAGTCAGTATTGGCCCACAGTCACTTACGTGCTGGTTATCTCCCACAATCTCAGGTACTTTCAGCTCGCTCGCTGCTACAGAGACGAGGGCTCCAAGCCTGACAGACAGCCTGAATTCACACAGGTAATGATGTGCTAAAGGTTGAGGGGACACATGTCGCAGCACGTCTGACAATATCTGCGAAACTGGGGCTCGGTTCTGATGCAGATGAATATTGAGTGTTTTAATGATGTGGCTCGCTCTAACTTCCACTCGCGAGGGTGAGAGCTGCTAATAGGCTTTGCAGGATTCTCACTCAGACTAAAAATCATGAACCCCAAAAGACCATTATGCTTTTGTTCAGACAGGCAGCAAAAATTTTTTGTGTGCATTTGAGTCAAATCCGATTAGTTGTTAATGTTCTGAATTGCAAAAAAACACCTGATATCTGAAACCTGATCCGAACAGCATTCAAGTAATTTGAAATCCGATTAAAATCACATTTTATGCACCATCTGGGCAAAAGAATCCGATTTAAAAAAACAAATCAGATTCATGTGCAATGTGAACTAGTGTTGTTTTTGGCGGCCTGTTTTAATTTTAGTTTTAGTCTAGTCTTTGTGTGAAGCTGTCATTT